TTTTTTTTTTTTTTTTTTTTTTTTTTTTTTTTTTTTTTGGTGGTGGGGGGGGGGGGGGGGGGGGGGGTTAGCAAATCCCTTTGATACAATGACCTTCCTTCTCATGCATTGTTCACCAGCTTGTGGCTCCATTCATAGACCTATGTTATGTTCTGAGAATCTATACAGATACCGGTAAATGTGGTTCCTTTTTCAAGCTCTTCGCAAGAACAAAAAAGAAACAAAGAAACAAACAACTGGATGCAGCCCTGGGCTGATAATATTGTAGATTTTGAGGTCATCAAACTGTAGGAGTAAAACACCATGGCTCAGAGGACCCACAAAGAGGTGCACTTTTAAACAATAAAAGGCAAGGTAGGCTGAAGGCTACCAACACACCCGGTCTTCCAACAATCTTTTTGGCTAATGCTCGTCTTTGAACAATAAGATGAATTTAATAATGAGGCATGAACTGAAACATTGCAGAGAGTAGAAAACTTGCTATGTGTTTTTCCTGACAACAGTGTGGCTGGTTTGGTTATCTGCTCCAAACAAAAAAGTTTAGACCAGTTATTTTAGGAACATGACAATTTAAATAATTAACAGGAGTGGATCCATTCATACTAACAAAATCCTCCTGTTGTAGCCATTTTTCTGTCAGACAGAATAAATCAATGTGATGATCAGTTATCAGATCATTAACTGACTTAGAGGAAAAAGATCTAATGTTCAATAATCTGCATTTGATAAATATCATTGTTCTCAACAATGGTAGGTCCTCTGCTATACACTCTATTCCCACACAGTAGGATTACTATCCAAGGTATCCAGGAAATCATATTGTGAAGTTTTCAGATGACACTGCTGTTGTTGGACTAATTTCCTACCATTATTAGTCCATGTGTTGGTGGGAGATAGAGGAGCTCACCGAATGGTGTAAGGCAAATATCCTGAGCATTAATGTGACAAAGACAACAAAGATGGCAGTGGTCTTTGGGAGGAGAGTTTACACCCGTTCTCCCCTTTTCATTGGAGTCATGTGTGAGGAAAAAAAAACATCAAAATTAGTTGATCATCTTATAATTACAGTACTGTGTGCAGGTTGGAGAACCGCATGTCAACGGACTTTGGAGCAATCATGCAGCTGCTTCAAAGACAGATGGCGCTGGTTCCCCCTGCCTACAGCGCAGTTTCTTCACCTCCTCAGGTAAAGATGGTCACCATGTCTGCAGGTGACCAGAAAAAAAAAAAGCATTTAATTACCTTTAGGATAGAAAAAAATGATTTGTAAAAATAAAAAGACATTTTTTACACAAGGTTTTTTCTTTTGATTGTAGCCCTCACCCTTTCCCAGCCCTGATCCAGAACCAGGTCCAAGAGAGAGTGTGGGAGACAGAGAGCCACTGGCCTCTCCTTCACAGGTGAGGCTTGTAGCATGTTTTTTTTTTTGTCCGTTTTTATTTTATTATTGTTGTTTTGGTACTGCCGTCCTGATATCAGGACAGTCTATCCAGGGCCGGAAATTCCACCTCATTATTCAAAGCTATTTTTGCAGTCCAAAAAGAAAAATTCTCATTTTCAGAAAGACATTTACATTGTTCTTATGTTGCCATGGAAATGTGTTATAACCTCTGCGGTCCCAATAAAGACTTGTGTGCTCAGTCTGCAGGATGAATATTGTTGATAAATTGTCAATGTTCATCAAATATGGATGTACGTATATTTCCTTACTCTAAAGGTTGTTTAAAACCAGGTTGAATATAAATTTAATCTGGCTTGGACTAATGCTGTGGATTTTGAATATTTGTCTCTGATATATGGCAGCTTTACAAGAATTTAAAGCTCAAAATAAATTATGTCAAGTTGGACAACTGTTGAACCCAAAATGCAGACTCTTACACAAGGAAATCAAAAGTCAATTTGATTTATTTAACAAATATCAAAATGCTGATGAGGCATAACAAGAAGGGTTACCAGGAACACTGAGGAGACACAATAAAAAGCAAACCTGACCTTTGGCATAGAAATCAAGAATGCACTACCCAGGTTGTGGTGACAGGAGATATAGAGATGATGAGGTGTTGAAGTCAGATGAACTTTTATTTTGTATTTAAAGCTGTCAGAAAAAAAAATCCTATTTATTAACTGCACCCAAATCCATCCATCCATTATCTTCCGCTTGTTCTGAAGTCAGGTCTTAAGGACAGCAGCTTGAGCAGAGAGGCCCACACATCTCTTTCCACAGCCACCTCTCCCAGATCTTGTGAGATGACTCCAAGGCGTTCCAAGGCCAACCAAGAGACGTAGTCTCTCCAGCGTGTCCTGAGTCTTCCCCGGGGTCTCCTCCCAGTCGGATATGCCGGAAGCACCTCCCTAGGGAGGTGCCCTGGAAACATCCTTACCAGATGCCTGAACCACCTCAACTGGCTCCTCTCAATGTGGAGGAGCAGCAGCTCTACTCTGATTCTCTCCTGGATGACTGAACTTCTCACCCTATCTCTAAGGGAGAGTCCAGCCCCCTTACAGAGGAAACTCATTTCAACTGCCTGTATCTGTGATCTCATTCTTTCTGTAACTACCCAGAGTTTGTGACCATAGGTGAGGGTAGGAACATTGTCCAACTGGTAAATAGGCAGCTTTGCCTTACAGCTTAGCTCCCTACAACGGACTGACACAGTGTCCACAATAATTCAGATGCTGCACCAATCCATCTGTCAATGTCACGCTCTATTCATCCCTCACTCGTGAACAAAACCCTGAGGTACTTGAACTCCTCTACTTGAAGTAGAACCTTACCCTCGATCTGGAGAGAGCAATCCACCCCTTACTGACTGAGGACCAGGGCCTCAAATTTGGAGGTGCTGATTCTCATCCCAGCCGCTTCACTCTCGGCTGTGAACCCCTCCAGTGAGAGCTGGAGACCATGGCATGATGATGCCAACAGGACCACATCATTTGCAAAGAGCAGAAATGGAGTCTTGAGGCCACCGAACTGGAAACCCTCCACCCCATGACTGCACCGAGAATTCTGTCCATAAGAGATATGAACAGAATTGGTGACAGTGGGCAGCCCTAGTGGAGTCCAACTCCCACCTGAACCTGAAGGGGTCTGATTTACTACAAACAATGTGAATCAAACTCTCACACTACTTGGACCAAACAGCTTGTAGCAATGGACCCCAAATCCCATACTCACGGAGCCCCCCCCCCCCCCACACACACACACACACACACCTTGGTGTACCCTGAGGAAGACTGTTGAAAGTCTTGTCCAAGTTCACAAAACACATGTAGACTGGATGGGCAAACTACCCCCGAGGATCCTAGTGAAGGTAAAGAGCTGAACCAGTGTCCCACTGCCAGGATGGAACCTGCATTGTTTCTCCTTGATCTGAGGTTCGACCAACGATCTGACTCGGTTCTCCAGCACCCCTGAATAGACCTAAGCAGGGAGGCTAAGGGGAGTTATGTCGCTGTAATTGGAGCACACCCTCCAGTCCCCCCTTTTGAAGAGAGGAACCACCACTGTTATGGACAGACCAACCCCTAAGTCCCCTGACTCAGCTTCCTCCATGGAAGATGTGCTGGTAGGCTTGAGAAGGTCTGAGAAGTGTTCCTTCCACCTCCTGATGACATCACTGGTTGAGGTCAAAAGCACCCCACTTCACTGACAACAGTTTTAGTAAAGCGTTGATTTCCCTCCTCAGCCACCTGATACTTTGCCAGAATCTCCTCGGAGCTGACCGTGAGCCTTATCCAAGGTATCAGTGAACTCCTCCCTCATCCAAGCTTTTGCCTCAGTAACAGTGAAGGCTGTGGACCGCTTGGCCCTCTGGTACTCCTCAGTTGCCTCTGGAGTCCCATTAGCCAACAAGACCTGATAGGACTCGTTCTTCAGCTTGACAGCCTCCCTAACCCGGAATGTTCACTGAGTTCAAGGATAGCCACCGCGAGAAGCACAGACAACCTTGCAGCCATCTCAAGGCAGCTACTACAACATTTGAGGTGAGGATCATGGCCCATTCGGACTCAATGTCCCCAGCCCCAGCTTGAATGCGGTCTGGGAGGTGTGAGTTGAAGATCTTTCTGATGAGTTCTTCTGCCAGGTGTTTCCAGCAAACCCTCACTACATGTTTAAGTCAACCCATTCCATCTGACATCTTCCTTGCCATCTGATTCAACTCACTACCAGGTGGTGATCAGTTGACAGCTCAGCTCCTCTCTTCATTTGAGTGCCCAAAACAAACAGCCACATATCAGATGGCACAACTACAAAGTCAATCATTGATCTACAACCTGGACACCCTTATGTTCGAACATGGTGTTCATGATGGACAAACTATGACTAGCACAGGGTGTCCAACAGAAGTGCAACAATAGAACACTGCTCGGGTTTAGATCAGAGAGGCTGTTCCTTCCAATCACGCTCCTTCAGCTCACACTGTTGTTACCCATGTGGGCATTTTAGTGCCCCAGCAGAATAAAGGGGTCCTCAGCTGGTGGATCAAGGACTCCAAGAAAGCCAGATACTCTGAACTGCTGTTTGGCGCATAGGCACTAACAACAGTCAGAGCCCATCCCCCCTACTTGAAGGTAAAGGGAAGCCACCCTCTCATCTACCAGAGAAAACTGCAACACATAGGCACCAAGTCAGGGGGCTAAAAATAGACCAACACCAGTTTGGTGCCTCTCAACATGGGCAACTCCAGAGTGGAATAAAGTCCAGCCCCTCTCAATGAAATCGGTTCTGGAGCCCATGCTGTGTGTTGAGGTGAGCTCAACTGTATCTAGCCGGTACCTCTCAAACTCATGCACAAGCTCAGGCACCTTCCAGGCCAGAAAGGTTACATTCCATGTCCCAAGAGCCAGGATCGCACCGAAATTAAAAATAAATATATGATAATAAAAAAAAAACAGACAAAAATAAATGTGTTGCTGATTTTGTCCCATACTAGTCTTCCAAATGTTTAATTTCAAGGGAGCTTTTTTTCTTTATTTTTAACATTAGAGCCCCCAATAAGGGTGCATTCACACCAGCCCTGTTTAGTCTACTTTAATCAAACTCTAGCTCGTTTTCTTAGAAAGTCCGGTTCGTTTAGGGAGGTGTGAACGTGCCATCGAACTCTGTCATGGAACAAAAAGGCCAACTCTGGCCCAGGCTAAAACCTAGGTCTCGGTCCGGTAGAAGTGAACTCCATTGCGGTTCGAGTGCAGTGTGAATGTAAACAGACCAGGCCCCGCTCCGCAGGACAAACAAACACGCATTGCTCTTACCTTATATGGAGCCGTCAGCTGCCTTGTGTGGAAAAACAATATTCTCCATGGTCTTCTGTCTCATCTTCTGCTCGTGCTATGTCCATTTTTGAAAAAATGACAAAATATAAGTCCTAAAACTGCTAAAACTTGATGCCACTTTGTTTTTGTTTTTATTTACAAAAGAAGAAGAAGAAGTGTCTTCAGAGGTTTTTGTGTTGTTTCTTTCAGTAGTTCTTGGTGCAGCGCCCCCACAGGCGAGCGGTGGAATAGGTTGGTTCAACAGGTTGGCTCGACTGCACAGTGCAGTGTGAATGCAAATGCACCAGCTCAAATGTAAACAAAATGTCATGAATATTGGCCCCGAACCGAACCGAGTCTACCAGACAATCTGGTGTGAAAACGACCCAAGTGATCTATAAGATTTGCCATGTTGTAACAACATGCAGGCACAAATTGAAAGATTGCTAAAAGGTACCTTTAACAGATGTGTTTAACCATTATGAGAGAGGAGACGCTGTTCCAACTAACTTCATAACTGTTGTTTCCACAGATCTTGTACTTGGACTCTCGAGAATTAGAGTTCTCAGCCAAATCACCTAATTCCATGCAGCCGCAGGAGTCCTCTCTGAGCACTTCCAGCCAGGATCAGCCTGTGTTCCCTGGACTGGGCACCCTGGAGCAGCATCTGGACCTGGACTTGGAACTTTGCAATGTGGCTGGCATTATATCTGAGGGGAATGTAGGTTCAGGTTCAGAATTAGTAAAAGGGACAGAGGTTGATTCAAATGTAGTAGGAGGATCAGAATTTGCATCAGGGGTATGTACTGAGGCTAAGGTTGGGCCAGATTGTGGAACAGATGTCTCACCTGTGGATGGTGAGATTCCAAGGAGGCTGTCAGTTCAAGAAGCACAGACAATCCTGGATTCACGTACATCACAGAGACAAAGCTCTGACTCAGGGGGGAAATAAGGTAGATATGAAGAGAATAGGGACTGGCATAAAAACAAGCAAGATATATGTTTTCTCATACAGTTACTGCTGTTTTCTGACTCCAGACACAACTTTGAAGATCAGGAGGGCACAAGATGTTCCTAAAAGCTTAATTCCTTAAGGCACTAAACATTCTCCTTCAACCTGCTTAAGAAGAATGAAGCCATGCCATGGGTCAAGAAATTGATTGAAAGCTTTTCCTTTTTCTTTCTCTGTCCTTGAGTTCCTTCTTCTGACATCCACAGCAGTAAACCTTTACAAAAATCAAAAGCCCAGCAGAGATAAGCTCTCTCTACCTCTCTAAATGAACACAATCCACCAACATCAACCAAGTCTCTTCATTTTCACTCACTGAAGATTATGCTTTTTCACACCTGAAGACCACTGACTTGTACACAAATCCCTTTAATTCACTCATTGTTGAGTGGATAAAGAAAATAAGCAAAACAAAAGTAAATAAAATGATGAATAGAAAGTAGCCATTTATGTATTGCAGTGAAAACTTTGATACAGTGAATATTCTTATTCTTTATGTCCATGGCGCTTCCAATAAACTCACAGACTGATCGGTAAATTGCAGTGTTAGCTGGTCTAACATGAAACCCACTGTCCTGCTTTGTTAATATTACCTGATCTTAATGTTATTAGGCCGAAAGTCAAAGCATCATTCTTTGTACTCTGCGCTCTAAGCACATACTGTATTGACTGGTCAGCTCCTCAGTAATGAAAATTAGAGGGTTACAAGTTTTGGATGAACATTTTTGCTGCACTATAATGAAAATGACCTCATATAGCATGCTTGGGTAGAGTGGTAAAGGATTCTGCTCTCTGACATTTTCTGAGTTTTCCAGAGCATTGCATCAAAACAAATGCAAATAGTTAATCATCAGAAAACCTAAAGGTAGTGTCTCACTGGGCTGCAGCTGCCGGAGACTAGTTGGTGACTCAAAACTGTAAGAATATTGCAAGAAAAGATACACATTTTCTGTTGTGTGTTCACTAAATTTTAAATGTTGTGATCAAGTGACACGTTCGTTTAATATGGACATTTTTTTTAATCAGTTTATTTTTCATGTGCATAAATTACAAAATTGCATTATAGGATGTGCACATTATTTTTAATACTTACCTCAGCTCCCTTTGTACCCAGGTGCCCCTCATGTTTGTGATTTAATCTACAAGAATATTTTGAAAATGAAGACAGGCAGAATTGAACCATTTTTTAAATTGTTTATTTTAGCATTGGTTTTATGCCGATGGCATGGTGGCACAGTTGGTAGAGCTGCCACTTCTCAGTGAGAAGGTCGGTCAAGGACCATTCTGGGTGGAGTTTGCATGTTCTCGCCGTTCATGCGTGGGTTTTCTCCGGGTACTCCGGTTTCCTCCCACAGACCAAAAACATGTATGTTGGACTGATTGGTAACTCTAAATTGTCCCTAGGTGTGAGTGAGAGTGAATGGTTGTTTGTCTCTATGTGTCCCTGTGATGGACTGGAGACCTGTCCAATGTGTCCCCCATCTCTCGTACAGTGATTGCTGGCCATGGGCACTGGTGACCCTGCGACTCATTAAAGGAAGAAGAGGGTAAAGATAATGCATGGATGAATGGATGGTGTCCAAATACCACATAAGATTGCCTGGAGTTGCCTGGGACAAAATCACAAAGTGTTCATGGTGCTTACGTAAATTTGTGATCATTTTGCAAAAAATAAATTGTCACAATTTTTGTGTGAGTACATAAAAGTCAATCAACAAAACTGTGAGTCTCTGACTTTTACAGAAATTAAGGAATGTTTCGAGATACTCCCTTACAAATACTGTTCACCAACTAGCCACCAGCAGAACTCAGTGCTCATTCCTTTCAGGATTTAGTTTCATAAGCTACTGTATTAGTGGCCTCACATGAAAACTGAAAAGTTGGTCAATCATCAGTCTTGCTGAAGTGAGAAGGTCAGCTGGGATTTTAACATCCACAAGAAACAACGTTCCAGGAATCTAGTTTTTCATTGTTGTATTTACTACCTCAGATTTCATTCATCCTTACATTTACACTCTAAGCATGCAGCCTAATGCTTTTATTTTGTACTCACGCTTGCCATGTGACATGAAAATATATACAAGTTTGCCAGTTTACAATGACCAGCTGAATGCACTATTATTCTTTGTATAGCACAATATGCAAGCACAGGCTAGAAGAAATAAGCAAGACTGTTGTTTTTTTTGTTTCCAGATGTGTTCATGTTTGATGCTGTCAATATCTGCATGTGTCCCTAAGTTTGTCTTGCACTCATAGATGCTGACAGATTTGATTTTACATATAATACAGGGTCAGTGCATTCTGCTGTTTGGTTTGTCCCTCAAAAGATGTGAACGTCTTGTTTAAAAAAGACAGACGCAACCTTGGTGTGTAGAACAAAAACCCTTTAAACTGTTGGTTAAAGTAATGAAAAGCAAAAACAAACATTGTTAAAAGGCAGTGGTGAAAACAGAAAAAGTACTTTGGCATTGATTAGTATTAAATGTTAACTTGAGTCCTTTACCTACCATTTTGAGTTTGTTGCATTAATATTCTTGTCATTCTAACATCTAAATTTTCTGACATGAAAAAGCCAAAAGACTGCATTTTATTGATAAACTATTGGTTCATATCAGAAGAAAAAGGACAAAAAAATACACAGCCATAGAACTGCTTTAGGATTAGACGTGGTCTACTTTTAGTCCTGTTAGAAACTCAGATATATGAGAACAAAGGAAAATGATGCACCGAGGTGACTGTCGACTTTAAAGCTGTATTTTTTTTTCTTTTCAGACTGTAAGAGAATATTATGTTGTGAAATGTATGTGCTGGAAGAAGAAAAAATGAGCGAGTAAGAGCATTTAAGTTACTTTAACAAAGACCCACTTGTTAATGTTAGAAAGCTATATTACATTCTCCTCACAGCTGTGGCTCATGCTGAATGTCCCTGGTTTGTTGTAGCCAGGACCCAACAAAAACTGGTCCAAAGAAGCAAAAGCTGTGCATCCAGTACTCAAGCTAAACATGGAACCAGCAAAGAAAATGGAAAGAACATAAATTATGATGGCTTGAGAAAAAAACTGCTGGAAAAACTTGATTCTGTGTATTACCTACAAAAATGCTGTTGTTGACCAAATACACTCTGCACATTAACTAATGTACTTTTACTAATCAGAGGTGTTCTGGGAAAGTAATTATGTAAAACTTAAAAAATAAGATTTTTCTTGTTTAACACAAGGGAAATGGAAAAACAATTGAGAGCCCTTAGTTGAAATGCAGCTGTCCTTTAAACAGTTAGATCCTGTAGCAGCTTAACGACACGTCTAAGATATTTAGCAATTTATTTTTAAAAAGCAAAGTCTTAATGAAGACTCAGGACTTTGTCAGTAATATCATGGTTGTCATTTTCCTTTGTCTAAAAACTCAAAAGGGTACAATTGTAGAGCAAAAGAAATACTAAGTGTGACATAGCCAGAGTTCAGTTTTAGTTGAACTACTCTTTAATGAAGAATTCTGAATATTTTTTTTGCATCTTTTAGGTCTACAGTATTTATTTGTTTCTGTTTGTTTGTTAATTTTGGATGGTGTGCATGTGTTTTGCACAAAGGAGAAGAAGCAATGCAAACTTGTTGGTGGAATAGTCAAGTGCAGGAAGTAGTCCAGAGGATAAGATTAGTTAAGACGAAATGGGAGAGTGAGATGACTGGAGAGAGTAGATGCAATGCAGAGAACACAGTGAGGCAGCAAAGGCAAAACAGAAGACATATTGTAAATTGTCAAAGGATTTGTATTGACTGGCAAGACTGAGGGATCAGGATGTAAACAATGTGCAGCAGGTTAGGGTTAGTAAAATTAGAGATTGTGATGTGATTGAGGAGAATGTGAAGGGAAGATGGAAGAAGTACTCTGAGGAGCTAATGAATGAAGAGAATAAAAGAGAAAGAAGAGTAGAAGCCATACAAACGGCAAACCAGGAAGTGGGAATGTTTAGTAATGTGTATAAAGATCTTTGAATTGGATGAAGAAATAGAAGGTAGCTAGACATGATAACGCACCAGTAGAGGTTTGGAAATATTTAAGAGAAATGGGAGTGAGGTTTACAACTGTTATTCAATGGCATTTTTAAAAGTTAAGAAAATTCATGAGGAATGGAGAAGTGTGCTAGTGCCCGTTTTTAAGAACAAGGGCGATGCACAGAGTTCTAGCAGCTACAGAGGAATTACGTTGATGAGTCACACGATGAAGATCTGGGAGAAAGTTGTGGAAGCTGGACTTAGATGACAGGTGACTTTTTGTGAGCAGCAGTATGGTTTCATGCCGAGAAAGAGCACAACAGACGCCATCTTTGCTTCGAGAATGCTGATGGAGAAGTACAGAGAGGGTCAGAAAGAACTCCATTGTGTCTTTGTGGATTTAGAAAAAGCATATGACAGGGTGCCGAGAGAGGAGGTGTACTTTTGGACATGGAAATATAGTTTGAGAGAGAGACGTATGTTAGACTGGTACAGGACATGTATGAGGACAGCAGGACAGTGGTGAGATGTGCTGTAGGAGTGAGTTTCAAGGTGGAGGTGGAAGTGCATCAAGGATCAGCTCTGAGCCCCTTCTTGTTTGCTTTGGTGATGGACCAACTAAAGCTTGAGGTCAGGAAGGAATCCCCGTGGACTGTGATGTTTGCAGATGACATTATGATCTGTGGTGAGAACAGGGAACAGGTGGAAGAGAACTTAAGAGAGGTGGAGGTATGCACTTGAAAGAAGAGGAATGAAAGTCAGCCGTAGTAAGACAGAGTGTGTGAATGAGAGGGAGGCCAGTGGAACAGTGAGACTACAAGGAGCAGAGGTCACAAAGGTGCAGGACTTCAGATACTTGGGATCAACTTTCAAGGAAACTTGGTGCGGTAAAGAGGTGAAAAAGAGAGCCCAGGAAGGATGGAAGATGGTTTCAATAGAATGGTGACAAAAAGGTTTACAAAACAGTTGTGATACCAGCTATGTTGTATTGTTTGGGGACAGTGGAACTGACAAAAACACAGGAGTCAGAACTGGAAGTGGCAGAAATGAAGATGTTGAGGTTCTCCTTTGGAATGACAAGGACAGGC